ATGCAAGAAAATTATTTTTTTTAACTATAAAAAAAATATTATGGTCGGCTGTGGGCCCCTAAATGGCTGGGCCACCCCGCATTGCGGGGTCTGGCGGCACTGTAGTTCCGCCCCTGACCACATTACACTAGTGCCCACAAAATGAACCCATTACACCAGTGACCACAAAGTGACCCCATTACACCAGTGACCACAAAGTGATGCCATTACACCAGCGACAACAAAGTGACCCCATTACACCAGTGACCACAAAGTGACCCCATTACACCAGTGACCACAAAGTGATGCCATTACACCAGTGACCACAAAGTGATCCCATTACACCAGTGACCACAAAGTGACTACATTACACCAGTGACCCATTACACCAGTGACCACAAAGTGACCCCATTACACCAGTGACCACAAAGTGACCCCATTACACCAGTGACCACAAAGTGACTACATTACACCAGTGACCCATTACACCAGTGACCACAAAGTGACCCCATTTAACCAGTTACCACAAAGTGACCACATTACACCACTGACAACAAAGTGACACCATTACATAAGTGACCATAAAGTGACTCATTACACCACTGACAACAAAGTGACACCATTACACAAGTGACCCCAAATTTACCCCATTACACCAGTGACCACAAAGTGACCCCAATAAAAAACAAAGCACATTACATCAGGATGTATTTATTCTCTCAGGGAACAAATAAATGGACATTTCTTGCGGAGACATTTTGTGTGTGTAAACTAGGAGATGACAGAGATAAAAATAGATCAACAGGCTACACCAAAGTCTGTGCTTAAGTAGTCATAAAACAAGATGGCCGCTGGAATTCTTACACAGGGGCAACCAATACTGGGACAGTGATGGAGCAGGGATTGGTGGTCAAAGTTCAGAGGTCAAAGTTTAAAACATGGCCACATTAACAAAAATAGATGATCATTGGATGAAAATTTGATGGTATAGAAATATAAAATATGAGTGTTGGAATAGGATCATTAAGTATTGTAGAACACATTAAGAAAATTCAACCATCAGAAATATGAAGCAGTACAACACAGTACACATAGGCACAAGAGATCTAAATACAGAGAGGGAAATCTGAAACAAAGATCAAAACAAACTTCCTTCCATTAGAAAATTAAGTAGTATACACAAAGCTTACTTGTGTAAACTATATATCATCTCTAAACAATTGTATTATTAAAAAAAAAATTAGTATTCAAATAACCTAATGTTATAACTCAAATGAAATAACTTTAATTATAAAACCTTATTTATAATCAATTAAAACTATCCTCTTATTAATCAAACCTGTGATTGAATCAATCAATCCTAACTTCATATCAATTAATTCTAGGAACTGCAAAATAAAATGTAATCATAGTGAATAAAATTATTTAAAAATTTCTTTTTTTTAAAAAACAAGAAAAAAGTGTGTGTAAAAAATGACTTATCAAATACATAGAAAAAAATAAAACATCAAACATTATGAACAATTTGATGGGTGATCATGTGAACATACAATGTACCAGAAACAAACAACCAGTAAATCTTAAAGATATGACTAGAATAGAAGTAATCAAAGGGACATAACCAATACAATAATTAAATAGAAAAGGCAGGCAATATGGTAGAGTAGAAGACCAATATTTGTTCATTTTTCATTCAAATATTTATAAAGACAATATATATATATATATATATATATATATATATATATATATATATATATATATATATATATATATATATATATATATATATATATATATATATATATATATATATATAAATGAATATTCTAAAATGTGTATTAAATAAATGTCTATTAGAAGTGTCTAAATATAATATTATTGCATTTCCTTTATAAGAACAATCTCACACATGTGAATTATTATTTAAATGTGCCTAGTCCTGATAATACACCCCTACAATATAATGTAACAAGACATCTAACCAACACGCCTGCAGTAAAATATGTCAAGACTTGAAACCCCTACAATCCAATGTGTCTAGCCCTGACACCCCTACAATCAAATGTGGCTTGACCTGACACCCCTACAATCCAATGTGGCTTGACCTGACACCCCTACAATAAAGTACAATTGACTTCAAGGTTACTTGGTACCTAACATATATTTTACTTCTCTCCAAAGTGGAAGGACAGGAGAAATTAATTTGAGCAGTGGCAGACATTTTGGAACATGAGGGGGGGGGGGGGGGGAGTCATCTGAGAACATGTGATGCAGGGAAATTGGGGGTCATTTGGGTAGATTGACATCATATAGGAACAAGTGGGGGGGTCATCTGGGTACATTAAGGTCATATGAGAAAATTTGGGAGGTCATGGTTTAAAGCTTGATGGGGAACACAATGCTAGGAATTTAAAAACATTAACAGAAAAATAAAACATCTACTTGAAGCAAATTCCACAATGGTCACTAATAATGTATATGAATTATCTAATTACACCTGTAAATACCATCTAAAAAATAGACCATGGGAGTACATAAATTATAAACAGACATCAGAATAATAAGTAAAAAAAGAATTTTTTAAAAAAATTTTTGGTAGGGGAAATAGCACTGTCTTGGGGACAGCCAAAAGATGTTTTAGAAGTAGATTAACTTCAATAAAAAACGTGCAGAAGGTTAGCTTAAAACATTATTGGCCTTCTGACTGACATACAAGTTTATACAAGAGGTGACATCAAATGTTTACATCAAGTAACAATAAATATAGTATACCAGCATTTGTACTCTCAAATAAATAGATCAGTGTAAATATACATAAATAATTCTTGTATGAAAACAGTGACCACGTACATGCAGTAGTGTCTGATGTCACACAACAAGAGCATGTGACAGCTATTTTTATCATGTTGTTGTGTCAGATCATGTGACAAACATGTGACCACATCAATGCAGTAGTACCTGATGTAACACAAGATCATGTGACAGCTATTTTTATCATGTTGTTGTGTCAGATCATGTGACACACATCTACTACTGGAGTAAACATAAAAACATGAATGGGAAGTCATTTACTTAGTCTAATACACCCCTTGTTTTAACATCTTTCATTCTCAAGTCATTCTCTGATTAACTGCTAAGTGCTTAAAAATTTGTTTATGTAACATTCATTAGTTACATAGTTTAAAAAATGTTACTATGTGAAAATAGGGAGCAAAAAATAAATATGCCTAATTAAAATATGAATTATAAAATTGACACTGAAACCAATTAACTAGCATGTACCAGTCAATGTAGGTGACTCAAACAAATTGTTACAGTTGTTGAACCTGTCACTCTAAATGTCTAGTTAGATTAAATAGGAAGGGTGCAGGTTACTATGGGGGAAAATGCCTAAAAATAATAATTTAAATTAAAAATATAGTTATAAATTAAAATATTCCAAATAATTATTTACTAAATCATTTCATAAAAACTTTGGATTAACAAATTAATGATTGAAAAAAATTGTTTAAGTCAGCTGATTTAAGCTTCAGTCCATATGATTACATTATGTCTCTACTTTTCCTGTTGTTTTAAGCAGTAAAATAGGCTAGAAGAAACAACAGTGTGTTTGTTACAATTACAAGCAAACTGTACCACTGCTGTAAGTCTATGCCAGAGGGTTATATAATTAAACTGTACCACTGCTGTAAGCCTATGCCAGAGGGTTATATCTACACTAGTCAGTCAGATACTTTACCCTGTAATCATTTCTCACCATTAGTTGTATGTTTCACCCCAATCATACAAATTTATAAACCAATCACATTTGTCTGTTCCCCTACAGCCTACAGGAATAAAGTGAATTGTTGTCATAGATTAGCAACAAGAGCAGCACCCACCTACCCAGCTGTGGACAGGCTGGTTCCCTGCTACCATTCATGTTATTCTCTAAAGTAGTACGTTTGTTCAGTCTGTTATCATGGTACTCAGTTGTATAAATATGTCATCATACATATGACATTCAGTCATATAAGCATTATTAAATCATACATATAGCATACAGTTCATATAAATCTGTGATCTTATGACATACAATGGTATTAAAAATTCAGTCGTATAAATGTGTGATCATACATTTAACATTCAGTCATTATCATATCATGTGTGACCATACGTTAAACATTCAGTCATATAATGTGTGATCATACATTCAGCGCTACAAAAAATAACACATCTTTGGAACGTAATGGCATTTTGTTCATGAAACATCCAGATCTTGTGTGCATAGAAACAAAATAGTTTTTGTGCAATAATACTTCTCACCAGTTCTCAAGGAAAAATGAAAAAAAAACACAAAAAAAACAAAGGAGTTACAGAAGCAAACTGAGCTGCGTGGATTTCATGGGAATATTTGTGTTGAGCTTTGTCAGTCAGCTGGTCTGTCAGTGGGATGTCATCGGTTTATGGTGACATCTGTGGTGGCATGACATCTGTCTGTGGTGGCATGACATCAGTCCATGTCAATAGCGCTTGCATTTGTCTATGATGCCATGATGTCCGTGGTGAAACGTCATGTGTCTCATGACAAGTCATCTGTCAATAATGACAAGTCATAGAAAGCTAGGGAAATGACAGTGTAAAAAAAAGCATTGGACCACTATTCATCCATCACTACATGTAACTTTAAGCTTGTCATCAGCAGCTTTATCTTTCTCGCTGGAGATTCTGATAGACTATACATTCACGATTGTAGAACATAATGATTGTAGAACATAATGATTGTAGAACATAATGATTGTAACTGACAGAAGATTGAATCTAAAACTAAATGCATCCATGCAACCATTTTCTGTCTAAAAAACAGAAAGAGAAATCAGATATTGCCACGTGGTAGGTTGAGACAATGCTAAATGCTTGGGTAACTCAGCTGGTCAGTCCATGGCTTGAGCTGGTCAGTCCATGGCTTGAGCTGGTCAGTCCATGGCTTGAGCTGGTCAGTCCATGGCTTGATGTGGTCAGTCCATGGCTTGAGCTGGTCAGTCCATGGCTTGATGTGGTCAGTCCATGGCTTGAGCTGGTCAGTCCATGGCTTGAGCTGGTCAGTCCATGGCTTGAGCTGGTCAGTCCATGGCTTGAGCTGGTCAGTCCATGGCTTGTGGCCAGATCAATTGTCTGCGCTGGGCTACAATCTCTTAAGCTCCATGTCATTTTTAGCTTTCTTCTTCCCGCGGGCTGCCTTCTCTGTGTCCCCTTTGTTTTTCCTGGCTCCCCCGTGGCCCCTCTTAGGTCCACCTGAAGGGATGGCCGTGAGGTCAGGAGCACGGACAGGTTCTATCAGCAGCGGGGTGGAGGAGGACGAGGTGGGGGCAAGTTCTATAGTTAATGGCACAGCGCTGGAGTAGGGGGGTGGGGGCTCCTGGAACACAAACAAAATCTGTGATTAGTGGACTAAAACATAAAATGTGGAGTAGAAGACTGCAACAATAGTCACATCTCAATCATCATCTACCAGTACATACCACCATAAACTCTACATACAAATGTAATCAACATAACGTAACCCATATCATCAGAACTGGGTGGGATCAGGGATATTCTGCAGACTCAAGTCCGTACTATAATCTGAACTCAAGATTTTTGGGTTAACAGTTGAGTGCTCTACCTCCAACAACACCATCCCATAAAAGTTAAGTTACACTTTTAAACCTACTGGCCCATGAGGAAGATGAAGCAGAGTCCCCCAGTTACTGTAACCTTGAGAAATGAAGGGATAGTGTGGTCAGCACTGTGGTTTATAAAATGCTTTAATGTACCTGGTTTATGGGAGGTAACTGTTCACTGGTCGCTGGTTTCCTCTCTTCCACACTCCTGGCCATGGGCCGGCGAGAGTGCCCGCTGCCCCCACTTCTGCCCTGATTCTGCCCAGACGAGGACTGGCCAGGCTGCTGTGGCTGGCGCTGTTGTTGACGCCTGCGCTGGAGCGTGCGAGGCAGTGTCAGCTGTCTGTGTTTAGGCTTGCGAGGGTTGGAGCTGGGCGTGTGAACGGCACAGATTTTGATGAAAACTCCCATCACAATGACTAGAGCTATCCCCATCAACAACACAGCCCACCAGTGTTTCTGTGGACAACATCAAATACAAATCTCACACAGCAGGACAAAACAATGGAGCTGATGCGTATTTCTTCATCTCATTAAAAGCCTATGGTGTTAGTTTAGTTTTCCAGATAATTTCACATGTAATGACAATTTTAGCAACAGCTACCTCTAACACAAACACCAAACTACCATATATTTTTACTTTCTCGTATATACGAAGTATAGAGAAAGTATTGTAATCGTGCAAAAAAAAATCGAGATTTTTACAAATCTCAACGTTTTACATCTCACTGATACGGAAAAACATAATTTTGCAATCTTGTCCGTATGTCTGTCTGTCTGTCTGTGTGTGTGTAAACACGATAACTTGAGTACCGTTACAGCTAGGTTGATGAAATTTCATATATAAGTATTTTATCAAAATCGTAGATCCGTATCAACATTTGAGTGATTTCCGATAACCGGAAGTGGTACTTTTTCTACTTTGAATTTTTCAAAAGCCTATAACTTGAGTACTATTTCAGATAGATAAATGAAATTTCACATGTAAGTAAAAGATCTAATTCTCTACCATCTGTCAAATTTTGAGTAATTTTCGTTGACCGGAAGTACTAATTTACGCTATTTCCGATTTCTCAAAAAAAACGCATGTAAATTTATAAAGTACTAATAATATTGCGCACTATTATGCACATTTTGTTTTGGTACTCGCTTGGTGCTCAATTTTTTTTTCTACTACAATTTATTCTATTTTTAAAAGTTTAAGTAAACAAAAATCATGTCTATATTCCGAGTTGACATCCCACGTAGTGTTATATTAGAATATTCGAGAAAGTTTAGGGGAGATCACTCCCGGTTTATTTATGTAAATCTCACGCTTTAAAAAAATGTGGTACTGATAAAAATACTCTCTGGTCAGCAGTATTATTTAATTCTTCTGGTATAACTGGAGTCAGGATTAGGCTAAGGATCCTGCTATGGACAGAGTAGTAGTAGTGGCAAGTTATTATCTGAAAGGGGTTGTGCTCGTTTTTACTTTCTCGTATACAGAGTATAGAGAAAGTATATTAAACTTGCACAAAAATCACATGAAATTTTTAGTTTTTATCTTTTTACACCTCAGTACCTCAACATATACGCGTTGAAAGATTTGGGTGTTTCCAAGATGAAGGAAATGGGTGTTTCCAAGATGAAGGAAAAATATGATTTTCAAATCAATGAGAAATCCAGCTTTCCAAAGATGCAAAATACAATGCGCTGACGGATATTGAACTTTTGGTAAGATTGGAAAAAAATTATTGTTTTTAAATTAATGGTGTTATTAAAATTATATTTTAAACATATTAAAAAAATTTCTCATTTAAGTTATTATTTTCTTAACTTAATACAAAAATAGACAAAGTATCCAAAAGTGCAAAAAACTCAATGTGATGAAAAATCACAATTTTGGTGATTTTTTACTACGCATATCCCCTTAAATATTTATTGCAAACAAATAGTTGGCTGTACAGCAACCACCTCTGAACATTTAAAAAGATAGTCATGTTTAAAATTAACACTGGCAAAAAGTGAGGAAAAGTTGACCAACCACAATCCACTGCTGAATGTTCTCTAAAGTTTCAGGATTAAAGATGAGGTTCTTTAGCCTAGCCAGTGGACCATCAGCGTCCACACCCCGACATTTGTGGAAGACGTCACAGTAGCCTCGGTAGTTGTCACACGGAGAACCTGTCACAGAGAGATGGTGCATGGTTACAGCAGGTCAAGCAGGTCTTGTGGCTGGCTGGTTGACATGGGGTCTCGTTAAACTAATTAAAAGGGTTATTGGCATTTAAAATTTAATTTAAAATACAATGGATTATCATTAAAAATTAATAAAAAATTTCCTTGTTCAGTGAATACGACCGAAACTAGACAAGATTGTACCAGCAGGCAGCTGAACTAAAAACAAGACTGTACAAGCAGGCAGCTGAACTAAAAACAAGACTGTACCCGCAGGCAGCTGAACTAAAACAAGACTGTACCATCAGGCAGCTGAACTAAAACAAGACTGTACCCGCAGGCAGCTGAACTAAAAACAAGACTGTACAAGCAGGCAGCTGAACTAAAAACAAGACTACCAGCAGGCAGCTGAACTAAAAACAAGACTGTACCCGCAGGCAGCTGAATTAAAAACAAGACTGTACCCGCAGGCAGCTGAACTAAAAACAAGACTGTACCCGCAGGCAGCTGAACTAAAAACAAGACTGTACCAGCATGCAGCTGAACTAAAAACAAGACTGTACCAGCAGGCAGCTGAACTAAAAACAAGACTGTACCAGCAGGCAGCTGAACTAAATAAACTACTGTACCAGCAGGCAGCTGAACTAAAAACAAGACTGTACCAGCAGGCAGCTGAACTAAAAACAAGACTGTACCAGCAGGCAGCTGAATTCCCCTGGGTTCATCCGCAGGTTTCCCCAACTTCTTGCTGGTGACGTCCAACAGCAGCTGACGTAAATCCTCGTTCTCTGGTTTGTTGATGGCCACCTGGTCAAACGAGCTGACACACTTGTTGGTGACTGGGTTGGCTGCAACACAAAGCAAAGTCTAAACCATTTCATTTAAATATACAGAGCTGACACACTTGTGGGTCACTGGGTTGGCTGCAATGTGACACAAAGCAACGTCTAAAACTATTTCATTTAAATATACAGAGCTGACACACTTGTTGGTGACTGGGTTGGCTGCAATGTGACACAAAGCAAAGTCTAAACCATTTCATTTAAATATACAGAGCTGACACACTTGTGGGTCACTGGGTTGGCTGCAATGTGACACAAAGCAAAGTCTAAACCATTTCATTTAAATATACAGAATTTTTTTTTCTTTCAGTTAGCAGGTATTTTTAAGAAATAATTTAAATTGAAGGTATTTAGAAATTAATTAATTCATTTGGTCATCAGAAAAGAAATTAATTATTTAAGTCAATAAAATATGTAAAATATTTATGATATACTGCTATAAATTGATGATATATATGTAAGTGTAGAACCTAGATAAATGTAAACTCTACAGTATGTTTTGCAAGTCAATAAATGTAGCTTACTGCAAGACACATAGCACAGAGCTTCTCTGGATGGACCTTCATCTCCATTCTCAGCTGTCAGATAGCAGACTTTCCAGTTGATTCTTTTACACACAGAGTCTACGCATTCCTGGTCAGATAAAACAGTACAGTTTTAAACAAGCAAATTTCTGGGTCAAATAAAAAAGTACAGCTTAAAACAAGCAAATTCTTGGTCAGATAAAACAGTACATCTAAAAACAATCAAATCTTGGTCAGACAAAACAGTACAGCTTAAAACAAGCAAACTATAAAGCCTTCAACACACCTTACACTTAAACACATATAACATCAGTATAATCAGTTTCATTATACTTTCACTTTCTTTTCTCTTGAATAAAATATTGTTCACACTATTTCTATTTTCCTGGTGCTATGAAGGAGGGGAAGAAGGAGCAATAGACAAGAAGTTACCCCATTAGAGCACATCTGAGCATCATCATTGCAGGAGGTTCCATTGGCCTCTATCTTGGCTTCAGGGCATTCAGCATGGGTGGAGGTACACAGTGGTCAAGGCAAACATTGGCCAGAACAATTAACTTGTTATAATTAACAGTGAGAGCTAGTTAATAGAACTATTAGTTTTCTAAGCACACAAGTACAATCTTTAAAATGTTTTAGTAACTGAACTAATTTTTTAAGGAAAAAAAATCAGTGATCTAAACACACAGGTGAAATCTTTAAGATGTTTTAGAAATTAAGCTAATTTTTAAACTAACGTTTAACTTTAAAGGAAAAAAACAACAGCTCTAAACCGAGTGATGAAACAAAGGATATTTGCAGTAAGAAACTTGCTTGCATTCGTCAGCTGGCTTACACTGGACTCTGCTGCTTGCTGACACAAACTGGCAAGTTGATGTACAACATGGGCCTGCTGTAGGACTGACAAGAAAAAGAATTGTCTACAAACTGGTGTATTATTTACAAAAATGTGTACAAACTGGTGTATTATTTACATAAAATGTGTGTACAAACTTGTGAGATTGTTTAGATGTATTGAGTGAGAAAAGAATGTGAAGAAAAGAAAATTAAAATGTCCTTTTTTTACCTGCATTTGGCCCCACTTTTAAGTGTGCACTGGACGCCATCACCTGCCTCACGTCCATAGCAACACATGTCCTCACAGTCCTGAGCGTAGCCACAGTCACACTGCTCTCCCTCTTCCTTGATGCCATTACCACAGAATGCTGTCTTAGAAGCTGGAAAATAAAACCAACAGTAACCTGAATGACAACTTTGATGCCATTACCACAGAATGCTGTCTTAGAAGCTGGAAAATAAAATCAACAGTAACCTGAATGACAACATTGATGCCATTACCATAGAAAATTGTTTTAACATAGCATGGTGAAAACCAGTTTTTAACATAAGCTAGAACACCCATTATCCTTTGAATAAATATATATATGACATCACATCTAAGAAGAGATCACATCTCAGCCAACATGAATTTGGCTGAGCATGGTGCCGACCACACTATCCCTTCATATAAGGAGGTCACAGAAACAGGTTAACTCTACTTCACCTGCTCTGTGTCTCACCAGGTTTCAAAGGCAACTGTACTATACACATCTAAAAAGAAGTCACACCTTAACTTACATGTTTTTGTCTTTTAAAAACATCAACTTCTTTCTATAGTATTTTCTGAGCTCAAACCTCATATGAATAATAAATGATTAAAGTATTAAAGCTAATGACGAAATAATAATAATGAATTTGAACCATTTGCACACATTGGGATTGCCCACAAGATCACTTTAATATGTGGCTAACGCACTGGCATCTCAGCTAGCTAGTCACTTACATTTTGTTTAAAACTGTATATAGGCTATTCTCTGTTGTACCTATATACAATTTTAAATAAGGGACGGAGTGGTCTAGCGGTAGAGAGCTGGACTTCTAACCCGTAAGTCTCGAGTTTGAATCCGGGTTCAAGTCAGTAGACCGTCCGTGAGTCCACCCAACTCTGATGGGTACCTAACTCACGTTAGGGAAAGTAAAGGTGGCTGGGCATAGTGCTGACCACATGATCTCTTCAAATGCAGAGGTCACAGAAACAAGTGAACTCTACTTCACTTGCCCCATAAATCGTCAGGTTTGAAAGGGAAACTTTACTTTACTACTCTCTGTAAACCAAAAAGTAAACATAATAGTGTTGGAACCTAATAAAAGGAGCAGACCTATCATTAAAGCTCCAGCTTTTCAATTGGAAACATGGTCTAATTTTCTATGGAAGCCATGTTGTGAAAATAAAGTATTTGTCCTCAACTTGTAAATTTAAAATTGTGTTTCTACATAAAAATATATCATTCATTTAATTTAAATCTTTAATAAATTTTGTGAACAATAGTGAGTTTATATAGAATCTAGATTTTTTTCTGTACTGTGATCCAACAATAGGCTGGTTTGGTTGCCATAGATAACTCTTGATGTTGGGGTGGATGTGTATGATACTGGGTGTAGCCAGTATTGTGTACAAGGAAGTAATGAAAAAGTAGAAGCAGGAACCACAGCTATTGTTCCACACAGACATGTCTGACTTACGCTTGAAACAATTCCTTTTCCCACTGAGCTCATTAAAGATAACATGTAAGAGTCTGGTGATGTTGTCCCTAGAGCAGATACTGAAGCTATTGTTCCACACAGACATGTCTGACTTACGCTTGAAACAATTCCTTTTCCCACTGAGCTCATTAAAGATAACATGTAAGAGTCTGGTGATGTTGTCCCTAGAGCAGATACTGAAGCTATTGTTCCACACAGACATGTCTGACTTACGCTTGAAACAATTCCTTTTCCCACTGTGAGCTCATTAAAGATAACATGTAAGAGTCTGGTGATGTTGTCCCTAGAGCAGATACTAAAGCTATTGTTCCACACAAACATGTCTGACTTACGCTTGAAACAATTCCTTTTCCCACTGAGCTCATTAAAGATAACATGTAAGAGTCTGGTGATGTTGTCCCTAGAGCAGATACTGAAGTCGTCATTGTTGGGACGGTCTCCCATGGTTGCGCTGGCAAACATGATGTAGTTGCCATCTGCTGCGTTGGTCTGCTCTGTGCCAAATGGTGCGCACTCATCCCCCTGGTCATGCTGGAACATTCAATAAGAGATACATCATAGGCTTTTTGTACACGGATAGTTCAATGATAATAGAAGATTATTCAATTAGAGATACATCATAGACTTCTTGTACACGGATAGTTCAATGATAATAGAAGACTATTCAATAAGAGATACATCATAGAGTTCTTGTACTGGGATATTACAATAATAAAGTTTCCCTTTCAAACCTGACGGTCTATGGGGCAAGTGAAGTAGAGTTCAATTGTTTCTGTGACCTCGGCATATGAAGAGATAGTGTGGTCAGCACTATGCCCAGCCGCCTTTACTTTCCCTAACGTGAGTTAGGTACCCATCAGTGTTGGGTGGACTCATAGACGGTCTACTGATTTGAACCCGGATTTGAACTCAAGACTTACAGGTTAGCAGACCATTCCGTACCATATTACAATGATAACAGAAGATTATTAGCTGGTAACACAAAAATTACCTAAATTTATGACCAACTTCATGTGCTAGTGACTATCTCACAAAAACTAACTGGTCTGACCAGATGACCTACTGGTGATCCAAAGTTATGACCAACTTCATGTGTGAAGGTCAGCTGTGAGACACGGGGTGGGACAGCCTTGCCGTAGTTGACCGTGGTCACGATGCCAGTGTTTAAACTCTTGGGCACTGTCTCATCCCTCTCCAGGTAGCTCTTGTGCCTCTCACAGATGCCCCCTGATGCCACTGTGATAACAGAAAATTATATATATATATATATATATATATATATATATATATATATATATATATATATATATATATATATATATATATATATATATATATATATATATCTTAAAGGAAAAGAATTTAGTCAAGCCTTAAAGAGCTCTGAGGGATTATCTGGAATGTCAAAGATGACTGCTTTAAATTCCCATCAACAGCGCAGCACTTAAAACTACTAATAGAGAGGACTTAAAATAAAGTGAGGACTAAGAACAGAGAGGACTTAGGACAGAGAGAGGACTTAGGACATAGAGGACTGTACCTTCCCTAGCACCAACCCAGGCCAGCCCCAGTGTGCCTCTAGTGAAGTCGCGGTGTGTGAAGATGTAAGCCAGACAGAACTCGTCATGTTGGTCCATAGAGTTGAGGTTGAGAAAGTTGCTGACATCAATGTTTGGGTTACAGTAGCTGCTTGCTCCTGGTGAGCCACAGTTTTGGTTCTGTGGGGTCATAATCTGTCAACAAATAAACATTCATTCACAGTGGGCTTTTTTAAAAACAAAGTAAAATCTACTAAATAATAAGTGTATTTAATAACTATTGAAGAATTGAATTTTTCTCAAATTCACCATTTTCTTGCAGCAATAATTGCAAGTTCCATTTTTTTTTCAAACAATGACATAAACTTTGATAGGCAAGAAATCTACTTTTAAAATTTTATTTATAACCAGTTTAACCTTTTACATATAAAAAACGGAAATATCTTCCAAGTGTAAAAACTGTTTTGAAAAAGAACAAAACAAAGTCCTTCAAACTTGATAGAATAAAACTTACACTGGTACGCTGCACAACGAAGTTGATCCCCTGATATTTTAAGTCATTGTTGTAGGTGGTGAAGATTGTTCGATGGAAAATGTTTTTCAATGCATGCACATGATTAGCAAAGAAGGCGAGGATTTCTTCCTTGGCTCTTTCATCACTCTATATTTCAATAGTAATAAAATTATATTTTCAAATTTACATTAACATAAAAATATTTTCACACAACAGAAACTGAAAGATTATTATATTTGACAGATGAGATGATTAATAGTTCAGAAAGTACACAATGTTTCTAGTTCATTACCAAAGTATTGAAATCTATATGTATAGTTATTAAATTTGCATGATTAGGCATATAATTAAATAGGCAGCTATTAATAGTATTTATACACATCTCAACAGATCTTAGGCTTAGAATAAAAGCATCACACTAAACATGGTTTTGATTTTAAAATAACTAATGTCTGTATTGTGTGAAAACAGAAGTCATGATGATCTTACCACTGTTTGTTTAAATTTCTCATGTTTAACAAAGTTCCACATCATGGGGTCAGAGCGCAGGTAGAGAAAGCAGGTGCTGTTAGGGTTCTGTATGTCCTTCTGTGCCGCCTTCTTCTTCCTCTCTGGGTGTGAGTAGCCGTTGGCCTGAGAGGAGTACTTGTTGCCTGGTGACTCACTCTCATAGTGCTCAGCTGTGCTGGACTGAAAACAACAGCCAAAAAGATGTTTATTTAAGCACCACAAATTGGTTATCAACCATAGAAAAAAATTATTGATACCAAGAGCATCAGATCAATCTAGAAATAGACATGTATGATTATTAAATATCACTGTAGAATTATATAACAGAAGACTAGATTAGCCATATTAGATCTTGCAATACATAGGCATGCTTATTAAATATCAGAATAGCATTATAAAATAGATGACTGAACTAGCCATGCTTTTAACTGCCAAAAGAAAGAAACTAAATGTTTATATATTTAAAAAATCTTACTCTTTTATGTCTGTTAGTTATATCCTCTACGGCTGATTTTGATACTTTGTCCATCCATTCCTTTACTCTGTCCATCCCACACGACCCTACATCATCTGCTGCTCTTCTATGCCTGTACAAGTAAATGTTATCACTACTACAAGTGGTACATTCTGTCAAGCTAAACACAAGGTATAGAGCTAGTAACAAACACTTGTTGACACTATCATCCACACAAGATGTACTGACCTGAATGGATCCTTATCCATGTGAGTCTCTGGATATATAACTGCATGGAAATTTGGATTGTTAAAATACTGCTCAGCTGATTCTATATGATAAGTTGTTTCCCCTGGTATATGTATATGTCCACGAGCTGTGCCATTAATGATGGACATATGAACATCACTTCTGGGAACACCTTGGGAAAGAAATAAGTTAAATATTATAGAAAAGATTAAAATAGCTTCAGAACAGCTCAGCATAAACTAAAATAAAATCTTAATGCAAAAAGACTATGCTGTATAAGCTCGTGCTAGTCATGTTTATTAGAACATAAAATTGATGAATACATTAATGACTTACACTAAACATTTCCACTGTATACAAGTAATGTGTTTATGACTAACCCTTGATATATCCAATGTATGTTAACAATGTGTTTATTACTTACCCTCAAAATATCCACTGTATATAGTGGATATGTATTAATTACTTACCTTCAACACATCCATTGTATGTAAACAATGTGCTACTTATCCACTGTATACAAGCAATATGTTAATGACTTACCCTCAACAGTATATGCACTGTATATAAACAATGTGCTAAAGACTTATCCACTGTATACAAGCAATGTGTTTATGACTTACCCTCCACATATCCAGTATATATAAATGATGTATCTACATGTACCCGCCTGCCATCAGGCTCTAGCATGGTATGATCAGGACTGAATATATCATTATCTTTCTTAAGCTGAAGTGAAAAGTCTCTGTAAAAAACAAAAAGATCATCAAGTACTGGTTTTTGTTAATTGACTGAACATAAGTATCCAGCATTAAAACAAAACAGACCTGTTGTAGGCACGGAAATGGAGATGTAAAGTCTGATCTGTGGACCTACGAACCCTCTCGTGTTTCTTGTGGAGGTCTTGACTATCAAATGTTAATGTCTGGAAATCATGAATGTACTCATCTAGTCTAGCACTATCTGTGAAGAGATTTTCAAAATGTTCATAATTTTTTGCAACTTGTTTAACAGTTTAAAGTCCAACTATATTTAATTCATGCACAATATAGAAATAAAAATTTATATTTGATAAGAGTTAACATGTTGGATTACAATGGATTGTAATTTAAGCTAAAAATGCAGGAAGCTGCACTATTTTCTTCTAGTGCACAAGGAGGCATCACAATATCTTTGAAAATATGCATACTTAAATAAGCTCCAGGAAAATTTTTTATTTCACTTAGAAACTTATCGATCTAGTAATAAAAATGGCTGCATCTATTTCAGACCCGGGTCCCAATAGCCTATTGGGGCCCCAAGGCCTTACAGCCTCATCTGCTATTCAGACCAGCCAATACAATTATTAAGATTTAGATCTAGTTAAACAAGAATTCTTTTAAGATGCAGAATATATTTTTTCTGTTGCTGAGTTTTTTTCTTGTAATTTTAAATGATATATTGAGATCTTGTTTTAAATACCCAATATCATTCCTGACAAATGTTATGGTGAGCGGGAATTGAGCGGGAGTGATTAGGTCTATAATATATGGCCTATGGCATGAACTGCTCCAACCAAGCGAATATTGGGCGTGCATGTAAAAATGTGCTTTATTTTTTTTTCTGTAAAACATAATTTGATTTTACAGGCATATCAGTCCAAATACAAAAAGAAAAAAAAATTGTATAGCAATGTTCTAGCTATGATCTATGCTATACGCCTACACTATTCACATCTAAACCAATGTGAACTCGCAGTGACCCTAGCTAGACCCTGCCGGTATTTTTTTGTGCTGACGAGAAAACGTGAGCGGGCAATAAATGGAGCAACGATGTTTATAATTGCCGTGTTTAAAAATCTAAATCTAGAAAAGATATAGAATCTATAAAAAAACAATTTAAAAAAAAAAAAACAATGCAAACAACGCAACTATCAGTATCAAGATAGAACAATAAACTTAGTTAAATACACTTCAATTCTCGCAAAAAATTGACTGTTTTAAATTAGGAGTACTCTACACAGTTGTTCCTGGTAGATCTAGATCTAAAAATTAGATCTACCAGGAACAACTATAGAGTACTCAGAATTTAGATAGGTTCCGAACCCGTAACTGATCAAGATTATGGTGGCATGACGTTCTCCACTCAAACACGATGTCTTATGATAAATAATAAAATATTTAATGATTTTGTATATAGAGTTAAATAGGCTGATGGCCTATAGGTTATAGTAGGGTATTTATAAATTTAAGAAATAGCAACACAAGAACTAACACTACTACTAATAGGGATTTTGGTAAAAAAGCACTAATCATCATATAAAAATAAAAATTACATATTCTTGTAGAGCTCAACAAAATGAAAACAAAACAAAAAAGATTTTCTGTCTAGCTCAAATAGTTTTTTTTTTGCGAATTTTTTTGTGAGGGGTGGAATCCCCTTACTTTTGCATTGGCCAATTGTGACAAGTCATGGTATACCCGAATAAATTGAGCATAGTTATTTTAATTGCTGTTGTATTTTGTTCATATTTGCAGAGTTTAGCTAGAATGATATATAGAACTTGTAAATGTTGTTGAAATGAATAAAAATAATACAGAACTTATATTTTTGTGTTGGCTTCCTCCCATAACCCCAAAAAACTGTGTGCTGCGCAAATATGAAAGCCATATTTTATATAAATACAGCAAATGAAAGAACTACAAAGTTTGAAATCTAAAGTAATTGACTTGAACACTGTTATGTGCATATAATATTATAATTGCCTCATTATTTTGGGCAGGTGAAGTAGAGTCCATCTTTAAGCCATTTTGTTATAAAACTGCTGCGCAAATATGAAAATGTTTCTAAAGCAATATTTTATATAAATACAGTGAATGTAAGAACTACATAGTTAGAAATCTAAATGACTTGAACACTGTAATGTGTATATAACTGCCTTGTTATTTTGGGCAGGTGAAGTAGAGCCCATATAAGCCATTTTGTAAAAATTTAAATGAAGTTATCAGATCAATGTTTTTATGTGTGAATAGTGTATGGATTCTGATTTTCAGCATATAACTATATCTAAGGGTAAGTAGAACTTGAATACTTAAAATTACAGTTAGCACAATGCTAGTGTATAGCAACAGACAGGTAACCTAGATCTAGGTCTGACTCTTGTCAGTCTAGTCTGACAAAATTGGATTTTAGGAAAAACATTCTGCAAAACTAGAACTAGAGCTGAAAAAATTAAAGATGGGTATGTAAATATATTCTGAAATAAAAAATTAGGAGATTTGTTTGCACATTCCATAAGAATGCTGTTGTTAGTTGATCAAACTTAAAGGCCGGAAGATCGGGATGAAAAAATATAACAATGGTGGCAACGCGACCTACATACTTAGTACATACAGTGACCACCTCTAAACGAGTATATCTAATGTCAGTCAAAATATCCAAAAACAAATATCATTTCCACATATATAAGATATGTCTGCTCAGTAATCTTCACTCATCTAGAATAACCTTTTAAAAAATCGTGATTCCAACGTATTTGAAACTAGCCTTCATACAGGGGGAAGACCAAGGCAGAGACAGCGTGCAATCAGATCGCTAAGCCATCAAAACAATGGGAAAACCATTCTACTTTTCATTTAACATTAGGAAATGACCTTTTAAACTTAATTAATTACCATAAATTAAAAACTTATTAGTATGCAAAACCAAATCTCGTGCGCCCGGTATCAGAAAGTAATGGGCGATTTCGGGTCATGTTTTTACCGCGATCTCGGCCGATACCGACAAGCCTACTACTAAGGTATTATTTTAATACAGGTTGTACGAGTGTGTAACGCCCCCACTCCCCCAAATAATTTCAATAAAATTGAATAAAAATAGTAGTATCCTAGTTATCTAGTAGTAGTGAAATGTTATGAATTGAGAAAGACAAATCTTATTGCATAATTCACAACTTTGTGATACATTTTAGAGAAGGGGGGGGGGGGGGTGGGCAGGCAATTCGGGAGAATGTTTACACCAGTGTCCGATTATGGAGTCTTCTTTAAAAAATGGGTGCTAGGCTACTGGTAGTTAACTAAATACACACATGGCTGGCTAATGTCAATGCTAACCCCAACCCTGGTCCTACCATGGCATACACCTAACCCTAAAATTAGTCGAGATTACAATACTTACTACTAACAACCCAACACCCCTATTTTAAAGAAGATTCCATTATCAGACAACAGTATCTAAATCTATAAACTATAATCATCCGGCAATTTTTGTGATTGTTTGATCTAATCTAGATCTAGTCTTGATTCTAGATCTAGAACTAGACCCCACAACCCACTGACAACCGCATGACACCCGATCTAGTTTGACTTTTTGACTTTTTGAGTTTGACTGGTCGAGTAAAGTTTTGATTTTTTAATTAAAAACTAATAGTAATAGGCCTAATTACCTGATTGCTGGACTATTATAACGAATTGTATAAACAGTAATATACATTGTGTAGAAGTAGTGCTGCCTAAAACCATAGTGAATATTTCATATAAGCATGTCAAAATTATTATTCACTATTGATGTTTTCTTTTTGTTTATGATAATGATACAGCCATCTTGTTAGCTTTTGTTGATTTTTTTTTTCCTAGTCTATTTCCTATATCTTTGCGCATGCGGAAAACTATTTATAGTTTTGTTTCGTATTTTAGTTGAACTGATTTAATAATAATAATACTCGGTAGGTTTGATGTTTTTTTGCAAATATATGTAAATGTATGCTTAGGCCTAAAACAATTTTAAAAAATGTACAATTGCAATAGTGGCCATTGTCATCCGATTTTAATTCCCGCTATCCATCGTATCGTTATACATCGTCCGGGTGCGGGAGAGGGAGGGGGGGGGTGCACTTAAAATATCCGGGAGAGGGGGCGGACAATAACTTAATTATATATCCGAGGCGGGATGTAGGCAGACAATGGACATTAGTTAGCCTAAAGAATATATTTATATTTATATTATATATTTTAAATTAGTTCAGGGGGTGGACGTACTCCTGGCTGGGGTGTCTCCCCCCCCCCCCCCCCCCCCCCCCGAAAAGATGCATCAAAGCAACTCTTGGCACAAAATGCCAGACCCTCCTATATAATCCCTTTTAAAATTATGTCACAACCCATTGATTTACCAAGGTCGGTTAATATTAAAAGGCCCTATTTTAATCGATTTATATTACAGTTTTCAAAACCAGTTTAAAAAAAAAAAAAAAAAAAAGTAAAATTGACTGCTAAAATTCAGTTTCTAGCCTTTTCTGTTTAAATTGCAAAAGTGTTTGTCACAATTTCAGACAGACCAACACCCCCCCCCCCCTTGTTACACATCATTACCAGAGTTTCTTCCAGGCATCTCTTCAGGGGGGGGGGAGGCTTTGCCCCCGCCCCCCGAACGAAATGAACTTTATATAGAAAATATATACTTTTAACAGTGTCCGGCCCCCCGAAGAAAGTCTACATCCCCCCTCCCCCGAAAATTTCAAGTGCCCCCCTGGAGAAAAAAGTCTGGAAGAAACACTGATCATCACCAAAGTCCACCCCCCCCCCCCCCTCTATCTCTCAGATATGTGATGACGGCATTTATGGACTACTGTAGGCCTACTACAGTGAATTTTTTTTTTAATTTAACCCTTAAATGCATGACTTTTTAATAATGATTGAAAAAAATATTTTTATATTGTTTTGGTGGGTATATGAAGAGTATAGTCAAGTAAAAAAATATTTTTAGTTTAAACATGTTCTTTAATTAAAATCCGAAATGTTGCATGTCTGCAACATTATGTAGTAAGGTGATACTTTTTAAGACAATTGTTTGTCTTGTTACAACAAAGATATATGTTGCACTTGTGGCAAACTGTTTGAGCTTGATGTGAATTTGCACCTGTCATTGCACTATTCCACGAGACTTAAGTGTCCACACAGGTCCAGGAGATCCAGTGTCCACACTGGTCCAGGGTCCACACTGGTCAAGGATATCCAGGGTCCACACAGGTCCAGGAGATCCAGTGTCCATTCTGGTCCAGGAGATCCAGGGTCCACACTGGTCTTGTAGATCCAGGGTCAAAACTGGTCCAGGATATCTAGGGTCCACACTGGTCTTGTAGATCCAGGGTCAACACTGGTCCAGGATATCTAGGGTCCACACTGGTCCAGGATATCTAGGGTCCACACTGGTCCAGGATATCTAGGGTCCACACTGGTCCAGGATATCTAGGGTCCACACTGGTCCAGGATATCTAGGGTCCACACTGGTCCAGGATATCTAGGGTTTACACTGGTCCAGGGTATCTAGGGTCCACACTGGTCCAGGATATCTAGGGTCCACACTGGTCCAGGAGATCTAGGGTCCACACTGGTCTTGTAGATCCAGGGTCAACACTGGTCCAGGATATCTAGGGTCCACACTGGTCCAGGGTATCTAGGGTCCACACTGGTCCAGGATATCTAGGGTCCACACTGGTCCAGGATATCTAGGGTTTACACTGGTCCAGGATATCTAGGGTCCACACTGGTCCAGGATATCTAGGGTCCACACTGGTCCAGGATATCTAGGATCCACACTGGTCCAGGGTATCTAGGGTCCACACTGGTCCAGGGTATCTAGGGTCCACACTGGTCCAGGATATCTAGGGTCCACACTGGTCCAGGATATCTAGGGATTACACTGGTCCAGGATATCTAGGGTCCACACTGGTCCAGGATATCTAGGGTCCACACTGGTCCAGGATATCTAGGGTCCACACTGGTCCAGGATATCTATGGTCCACACTGGTCCAGGATATCTAGGGTCCACACTGGTCTAGAATATCTAGGGTCCACACTGGTCCAGGGTATCTAGGGTTTACACTGGTACAGGATATCTAGGGTCCACACTGGTCCAGAATATCTAGGGTCCACACTGGTCCAGGATATCTATGGTCCACACTGGTCCAGGATATCTAGGGTCCACACTGGTCTAGAATATCTAGGGTCCACACTGGTCCAGGGTATCTAGGGTTTACACTGGTACAGGATATCTAGGGTCCACACTGGTCCAGAATATCTAGGGTCCACACTGGTCCAGGAGATCCAGGGTCCACACTGGTCCAGGAGATCCAGGGTCCACACTGGTACAGGATATCTAGGGTCCACACTGGTCCAGGATATCTAGGGTCTACACTGGTCCAGGATATCTAGGGTCCACACTGGTCCTGGAGATCCAGGGTCCACACTGGTCCAGGATATCCAGGGTCCACACTGGTCCAGGATATCTAGGGTCCACACTGGTCCAGGAGATCCAGGAAGATACTCTGGATTACCAAGAGCATCTACTTCATATTATTCTTCACCTTGATTCACAATGATTTCTTAATGATTATGCTGAAACTAGAAGAAAAACAAGGTACTATATAATCACCAATGCTGATGTATAAAGTAAAAAAAATAGTGCAAAAGTAGGTCGATTTGCATAACGTTGCAGCACTGCAACCTAAGTTTTGTGAAGATTTTAAAATAAATTATGAATTGATTTTCAAAACAACACATACAATATGTAATACATACCTTAGGTTGTCAGAAACATATTTTTTGAAATATCAAAACCAGTTTATTTGACTTTGATGAACTTTGAAACGCCAACCAAAAATGCTGATATAAAAAACCTTGTGATCATGCACAAATTTGAGATCGGCTTGGCGGTAAAACAAATCTAGATCTAGGTCACTTAGACATGCGCAAGCTGTAGGTTAACATTGTAGTAATCAAACAACGTGATGCACAGAATAAAATATGTTTAGGCTAATATTTTATAGGAAGGTAACTGGTATGTTGCAGATTTGTACCGGTATGCATTTAAGGGTTAAATGACTTGAAACGGTTAACCTTTATTTTAAGAGAGGAAGTTGGACAGACTTAGGTAATAAAAATGTGATGAATCCACTTGTCACAATATGGTATTCGATTTGAATGTAGACAAGCTAGCCTGAATTAGATTTAGATCTAAGAACGCTGTTCTACATTGTATAAGAGATTTAGGGGTCGTCCATAAATGACGTCACACTCGTATGGGGGGAGGGGGGTCCGTAATTTTGTGACGGTGTGTGATGAGGGGAAGGGGGGGGGGGGGTCAGATGGTGTGACGTCACTTTTTTTGCTTTATAAAAAAAGCAATGTTAGAAAACTAGTTTTAGCCGTTATTTCGCGTTTTAGAAAACCGTTTTAATAAATTGTAATAGGAATTGATCAAAATACTACGCTGGCAGAGTTCTGACAAGATTTTGGAAAAATATCGATGTTTTAAGAAAAATTCAGCTGCAATTTTTAGGGGGGGGGCGGGGCTTGTAGGCTGAGGACGTCATTTTTTTTTGGGGGGGGGTCTGGCTTTTTGTGACGATGTGTTACTGAGGGGAGGGGGAATAAAAATCGTCTAAAAAGCGTTACGTCATTTATGGACGACCCCTAACACCAAAACAGAAGTGGGCCAAATAGGACAAAAACAACTATAATGGTTGTAATAGATTGAGTTAATTGTGAGGTCAAGGGAACTCACTCTCTGTATTAGTATTATATTTATATTGTTATCTTGAGTGATGTCCCTTACATGTTGTTATCTATAAATAGTTCTCTCTCGCCATTTTCTCTCTCTCTTTGCAACATGGCGTCTGTACATAATAAAGACTGTTAACAACCAACGCGGCTTCTCGTCAGTCATTACAATCCACGTCATTTGGCGACGAAGGATAAACATCTACTAGAAAGAGCACCTACTTACGCAAAAAAGAGGTTTGCTAGAGCTTATTAGCTAATTATTTCTAGAATTATGGCGCTGTATGGCCAAATAAAAGAATTTGATGCGAATGATGAAATCATTCAAGATTACCTAGAGAGGTTAAGCTTTTACCTAGAAGCTAACGACGTGACGATAGAAGCCAAAAAGAGAGCTGTTTTGTTAACAGTCATAGGGCCTCAACAATTCAGGCTACTAAAGGACTTATGCGCACCAGCTAGTCCAGATACCAAGAGCTTTAACGAGCTGAGCAAATTGCTAACAGACCACCATGCGCCTACCCCATCAAAGTTTCTATGTAGAGCTAGATTTGACAGTAGGACTCGTCAACCAAACGAGTCAATATCAGAATATGTTGCTGCTTTACGTCATTTAAGTAGATTTTGTGAATTCGGAGACACGCTGTCTGACAGATTATGTGAAAAGTTTGTGACAGGTGTAAACAGCCCTGATATTCAAAGAAAGTTGCTGCTCGAGTCAGATCTAAAATTGGAAAAAGCAATACAACTTGCAATGTCATTCCAGCAGTCATCAGATGCGGCGAGATCTTTAGCACCTTCAGAGATCCATGCAGTAAACAGCAGGTTAGTCAATAAACATCAACCCCATCAGAGCATTCCAATTTATGCTAAACAGCCTGCTCGTTCAAATCCTAGATCTAAATCTAGTAATAATTATCAAAAATGTCATCGATGCAAGGGTCCCCATGCATCTCATCGGTGCAAGTTCAAGTTAGCAACTTGTTATAAGTGCGGTAAGCAAGGTCACATTGCCAAGGCCTGCTTTGCAAAGTCTTCGTCTGTTGCTAAATCTA